ATCTGCATCTCTTGCATGACCAGTGATGTTGAACACTTTTTCATATGTTTATTTGCTATTTCTACTTCTTTGTTTGAGAAATGTCTGTTCATTTCAGATGCCCATTTTTGGATTGTATGTTTAAATTTGGGAGATCTGATTTTTTTTAAAGTTCTTTATGTATTCTAGATAGTGGACCTTTGTCTGAGGAACAGCCAGTAAAACTTTTTTCCCACATTGTAGGTTATTTCTTTACGCTGTTGGTGGTTTCTCTTGCTGTGCAGAAGCTTTTTAATAAGAAATCTCACTTGTTTATTCTTTCTGATAGTTCACATGCAACTGAGGTTTTGTTCATGAAATCTTTTCCTATGCCAACGTCTTCAAGAGTTGTACCTAACCTCTCTTCCAGCCGGTTTAGTGTCTCTGTTTTAATATTTATCTTTAATCCACTTCAATTTTAGTTTAGTGTATGGTGAGAGATGTAGGTTTAGTTTTAATCTTTGGCAAGTTGAAACCCAGTTTTTCCAGCACCATTTATTAAAGAGGTTATCTTTCCTCCAGTGAGGGCGTTTGGCTCCTTTGTCGAAGATGAACTGGCTGAATGTGCCTGGTGTTGTTTCTGCATCTTCTAATCTGTTCCATTGGTCCTTGGGTCTGTTTTTTTGTCAGTACCATGCTGTGGTTTATTTATTACTGTAGCTTTGTAGTATAGTTTCCAGTTGGGAATTGTGATACCCCCTACCTAATACACTGTAATTTCTAAAATAAGGAGATGGTGCACCTAAATAAAACACCCTCAGAGTAGGTCCTTGCTGGAGTCTAATGATAGAAATATGCTATGAAATAATAAGCATGATTCACTCATGCCTCTTTGCCTGAGATCCAAGAAAGTAAGTGTGGAAGTACTAAGAATAATGCTCAGGACACAGTGAATTTTCATCATCATCCTCATCAACACATTACTACGAGTCTTTTGAAAGTAAAATCCTAATCATGGAGCTAAATTCAATGAAGAAGGGCATGCTTAAAATGATTCCAATGTATCAGTGGGCCCAGAATAATTGACAGGCAGTAACTCTCTTTAGAGGAAGACCTTAGAGAGCAAAAGGAATTCAACTTACAGCTAAAATCCATGAACTGATGGAGAGTAGAGAAAAGGGCTTGTTTACAACATAGTCATTATTTCAGCTCACCAAATGTTTCTGTCTCTTTGCCTTCCAGATTGCATGGCCTGATTCTCCTTTTGTTTAGTAGGCATCATGTGACTCCTTTTAACTGAAGAGTCATTAGTGTAAGAGTTACATGTTACCTGTAGGCTGGAGATCACTGGTCCTAGGCCAAATTTCCTTTTCCCTCTGGCACAGAGGGTAGTTGTATTTGAAATGGTGGTTGCTGACTAAGTTCCTGGGGACTGTAGTGCCAGAGTCCTCTGTAGTCCCATAATGGATATACTGGGATAAAATCACCCAGATTTTGGAGGCTATTACCCCAGCATAGCCTAGATCTTGCCTGATAGATCTTCCTAATCCTCAAAGATCTGGACCTTAACACTTGGAGCAATAGCTGGATGCCATGGAATGAAAGTCCTATCATGATCACAGTAGGTGAATGTCTAGAACAGGAAGGCCTAATCCCGGTAAAGAAGAACCCATATCTCTCACAACAGCTTCTATCATCTTTACTCACCTGTTACCATTATTGGGATCTCTCTGTTTTTAGAGACAGATTTTGCCCCCTTAACACTTCCACCCATTTGTATTATCTCTGCCCTTATCCTCTTTCTCATGATAATCCTTCCGATCTGCGGGTACAATAGGCAGAATAAGGGCCACTGCAGATGTCCATATCCTAATCCTACAGAGAACTTGTAGACTTTCCAGATGTGATTATGTTAGTGATCTTGAGAAGGAATGTTATTCTGGGTTATTTAAGTAGTCTCAACATAATCACAAGGGTCTTTATCAAGGAGGCAGGAGTATCAGAGTCAGAGGAGATGTGATAGCAGAAGAAAAGGTTGGAAGTGTGTTGCTGCTGGAAGAGACCTTGAGCCAGGGAACCCAGGCAGCCTCTTGAAGCTGGAACAGAGTGGATTTTCCACTCGAGCTTCCCTGTCAACACTTTGACTTTACCCCTGCAAGACACATTTCTGCCCTCTCTTCTACACAATTATAAATTTATGTTGTTTTAAGCTACTAAGTTTGGAGTAGTTTACAGAAATAGAAAAACATAATGAGATTTGTGGCTATATTTCCTTATTTTTTTCGGTTTCCAAACTAACTACTGTTTGCTACATCTGTTTTTTTCTGTTAACATACATCCACAAAACTTCACTGTTTGTTGGAACGGGGGTTTGGACTTGGGACCTTGCGTTTGTGAGGCATGCGGTGGCACTACTGAGCTAAACCCCCCTGCCCCTACTCAAAATTTTAAAAACCTAACTTCACTATCCAGTTTGTAAAAAGTAGGGTTCTTAGAATTTATTTTTTTTAAACTTTTTTTTGGTTTCTTAGAATTTTGACTTTGTTTTTATTTGAGTTGTGACCTAACAAAGGAAAGCGGCAACAAATTAGCCATGCCTAGAGCTCATCAGCTTGCAAGCCAAAGCAACAGGGACTCTCTAAGCAGCTCAGACTCTAAATAAATCGTTTTCATAGTTGATATTACTGTCATTTAGATTGATCTCCCAAATTCCATAGTTGTTCATTTAAATTATAAGGAATTAAGCATAAATTATTAGCAATTCCTTCAGATCACCAAGTCTGAGTCAATTAACTCATGAATTGTGTTATGTGGTCAAAATTAACTGCATTTAACAGTCTATGTTTCAGCTGTTCAGGAGAAGTCAAGAGTTTGACAAAATATCAGACTAGATAGAAAGGCCCTCTTTTTTAAGGTCAAATCATATGAATATACTTTTTTCTGTATTGATTGGTGTGTCCTACTCCCATCGCTTTGAACTGTCCATTATTGCTTTATCAATTCTCAAAACAGTTACATGACACTGTTGCTGTTTTGAAGATAACAACATGGCATTAAGGGATGAATAAACAACTTGCCCAGTTTTCACAGCTAGTGAGTGAAGGAGCTGGGCTGAACTCAGGCAGTCTCTGAGATTTGACTCTGCAAATGGTGTCTCAAATCCATGCCCCAGTGTCACTGATATATATATGGGGGTCCTCACAGACCCGTGGTGTGGATTTGTCTCATTTCAGGCCCAGCCTGGAGTGAGCAGACACTGTCTTATGAAATGAAAGGACTTGTCAGATCATTTCTGATGGATCACATTTCTTAGAACAAGTACAGAACATTTTCCATTTGCTGATTGATTTTATCATGCCTCCCTGGGCTGGGATTTGGAGGAGGGAGAGGAAGCAGGTTTCATGGTTAAAGCCTGAGAAATACCTCTTGGGCAGTCATGGGTGAGGGGTTAGTAACGGGTGACTTCGGCCTGTATTTATGCTCACCTGGCGCAGGAAACTCCGGGTAGTTTGGCACCAACTCCTAACAAGCTCCCCATTTACCCTCATTCACCCTGACTTGACGGTCTGGTGGAGAATTTGTCTGAAGGAATTTGTTCCAGGAAAGGCTCCGCTGCATCTGACAGGAAAAGGAGAAAAGAGAGAGATAGAAAGAGAGGTATAAATCTTTGGTTGCTGTGCCTTGCTTGGTAAGCTGTTCTCCCCGGCCTGAAAGTGTGGAAATGAGTAAGTGGTGAGTCTCAAAATCTGGCTGAATATCATACCCCTGGGCAGAGATGTGGGCCCCCTGAGGAGAGAATTGTTGTTGTGGTAGAAATCATCTTTATTGAACATTAAAATTTGCATCAGTCATTAAGCACATGAAAATATTCAGCATCATTAGTCATTAGGAAAATATAAATAAAACCACAGTGAGATACCACTTCACACCCACTCAGATGTCTAGAACAACAACAAAAAAGACAGACAATAACAAGTGCTGGTGAGAATATAGAGAAAAATGGAACCCTCACACAGTACTAGTGGAAATATAAAATGATATAGCCACTTTGGAAAACAGTCTGGCAGGTCCTCAAATGTTAAACATGGATTCAGCAATTTCATTCCTAGATATGTAGCCAAGAGATTCAAAAGATATTGGTTAGGTGTAATCTCTTGAAAAGCCTCAGTTATCTTGTTAATCAGTGTCCCCCAACTCTCTCTTCCTGTATTGATTTGTTGACCCATTGCTGGACAAAATATCTAACACTTCTAATTTAAAGGAAGAGAGGTTTACTTAGCTCATGGTTTCAGAGGTTTCGGTCCCTGGTTGGCTGGCTCCAAGGCAGAAACATCATGGTGGAAAGGCATAGCAGAATACAACTGCTTAGTTCACAGTGGCCAGAAAGCAGAACACAGGGAAACAGTGCTATCCAGAGATATAGCCTCTAAAAACATGCCCTCAACCGGACCTTGTATCATGAAAGCACATCCAGCTATAAACATTAATGGATTAGTAATCAATCACCTTATCAGAAATCTCTTAATCCAGTCAAGTTAACAATTAACCCTAACAGTCACACTCCCTTTTATTTTATGCCATATTCCATGTCTTAGTCTGTTTTCTATTGCTATAATAAAATGCATGAAACCAGGAAATTCATAAAGAATAGAAGTTTGATTGGTTCAGGGGGCTGGGAAGTCCAAGAGCATGGTGATAGCATCTTCTCCCTGCAGTATAACTGGGCAGAGAACACCACACTGAGAGACAGAGCAAGGATACCAGCTCAGATCTCTCTTATTACAAAGGTGGGAGTACCACCCTATGATGCTAATACTATCAATATATAAATTTTGGGATTAAGTGCTCAACACATGAACATTGAGGGATGTATTCATATCATAGCTTTCCTTAATGATAAAAGTCTGCCTGAAGTGAATTATCAGCTTTTCATTACCCACCCCCTTCCCACTCAGCCAGTTTCTCTTGAACATTCTATCTGTCTGGTTCCTGGAGACAGCTGGGTTTGATCCTGACTCCTCCAATTAGAGGGAAGCATTTTGTGGAGCATCAGAGAAGAGGGGGACATTGACTAAATCACATATGTAATTAGCAGCTGCCAGACATCAGACATGGGCCTTGAGGAACAGTCACAGTCATGGAGTAAGAGACTGGGAGCCAGATTCTAGGGAGTAGTAATGGAGAAGAAAAGAAAACGAACTTCTCTAGTACAAAAAAGGAAAGAGCTCTGTACTAATGGTCCAATCAACAGCAGGTGAAAGAAAGCCTAGTGGAAGAAATCTCTAGGAAGAGTAAAAGATGAAGCATCACCTTAGATTTTTGGAAATTGATCCTTGGAACGTTTGGAGGTCTCTGGCTCCTTGACGAGCAACTCTCTGTGAAGTGTTTCCTCTTCATAGTTATTATTTTCAAGTAGAATGTTTATAGTTATCCAAAAGCCAGTTCTAGGAAATCCATCGACTTGTCTATTGGGTGTGAATTTACTCAGAGACAGGGCTAAAATTCTGTCCCATGAGAATGCTGGGTCTCAGAGTAATTAGCTAGAGAATATCAGGGAATGCAAGGGGGTGTTCTCTAATTTCACATGCTGACATATTTGGCTGATAGAATAATTTCTAATTTTTAAAAGTTTCTTCAAGTTTTTGTTATCTTTGATCAAAACTAAAGGTAACTAGTTTATCTTTCTTGACCACTTAGAAGTATTTCTAAGGTTTATTATTCACATTTCACATTTCTGTCTAGTGTGTCAACATTTTACATTTAGTTATCTAACAGATGTAAATGTGCTGCTACTGTATTTTCTGTTTATCATTCATTTAATTAGTTTAATACCCACCCTATTTTAATCTTTTTCATGAAATAATGTAGCTGATTTTGTGGTTTTTGTTTTTCTCTATTTGGAATTTACATATTGTCTATTATTTTTGTGGTTCCTCATTAAAACTTATACCATGGATAATTTTCTTAACAAAGTTTAAAATTAGGCAAATATCTCCTTTGTTAATCTCAAATTTAAAAGTTCTTTAATTTGATTCTTTTTATTTTCTACTTTTATGGTATTTTCAGTATCTTACTTCCCCACTGTCGGCTATCCATTAAATAATGCATTATTTCAATTATTACATTTTAAAGCAACTTTTAAAAGATTTATCATTATATTTACCAATTACTTTCTTCACATTGTTTCTTTTTCTTGTATATCCTTTTATTGGTACATTTTAGGTATACGATATAATGACATTCATCATTGGAGATATGCACCTTTACATACTCTCTTGGTTCTTATTTTTTCTCCCTTCCCCTGCCCTCCCTTCAACCCCTCCATCCCTCCCTATTTACAAAGACTTTGTTTCCTTTGTTTTTC